CCACCCCCACCCATTTTCAGATTTCTTTTTCTCTTCACTTTTCAGTTTTCTTTTTTTTTTCACTTTTCTTATAGTTACCATTAACCTGATCTTCTACTCTGGTAGATTTTTCATAGTCCTTCCTTATGGTTACATACAGTGTTTGTTAATGTTGATCATGTGTTTTACCTCTTTGCAGCTTTCTCATGCCTATTTGTATTTATCCCTCCACTCCCTACCATGTCAGTGTGTCTATGCTTCTGTTTGTTCCTCACCTTTCTCTATTCACAGCTCAAGTAATCTCATCTGCTGCCATGGCTATATACCCACAGTGTCTGCCAGATGTCTCTCTTCCTATATTTCTTTGTTGAATTTGGGTCCACATGGTCAAGAGCTTCTTAAATAGCACTGTCAGAGTGTTCTTAGACCACACAGATGGAACACCTTTCTGCCTTGATAATTCTCCCAATTGTTTGAGTCATAACTAGCTGTCCTCAACATTTTCTCCTCTATTTCCTTTTTGTTGAAGTTAACTACCAAGTTCTGGGATTCAAGCTTTAAAACAAACAAACAAACAAACAAACAAACAAACAAAAAACCCAATATTTCTTAAGTGGCTACTTGTACTAGACACAGTACAAGATCTTTTTTTCTTTTAAAGACAGAGTCTCACTATACAACCCAGCTGGCCCACTAGAACTCATTGTGTAAACCAGCCTCACACCCACAGAAATCACTTGCCTCTGCCTCTTGAGTGCTATGATTAATAGTGTGTGCCATCATACTCAGCCTAGTATAAGACATTTTTAATGTCTCTTCTGCCTCCTGTGTTCTTCTAAATCTTAACTTTCATGTTTTTATCTACAATAACTTTCTTGTTAGTTATCCAGTAAATATTGATAATGTATTATGATAGTCTTCATTATTAACTTCATTGGATTTACTAGATATATCTATGAAGGTGTTTCCAGAAAGGTTTAACTGGAGAGGGAAGACCATCCGTAATGTAAGCAGCACCAACAATTAAGTGGAATCTCAGAAAGTACAGCACAGCCTACCCAAAATGGTGAGCTTCAGGTTCATTGAGAGACTGTCTTAAAAACTAAAGTGGAGGGCCAACAAGATGGTTCTGCGGGTTCTACTTACCGCCAAACCTGACTACCTGAGTTCAGTCCCTGGAATCTACATGATAAAAGGAGATAACTGACTCGTGCAAGTTGTCCTCTGATCTCTGCATGTGTTCTTTGGCATGCATTTGTGCAAACACACAATGCACACATGCACACACACAAAATGAATGTAATAAAGAATTAAGACGGAGAGCAATAGAGGAAGACACCCAATGTCCTCTTCTGCCCTTCACACTCATATGTACCATACCACCTACATAGAGAATTAAAGATCCAATTCCTTAATACAGCACTCTGGAATTATTGTAGTTGGTACTTGATTGTAAGTCTCATCCCTCTTTGCATACAACTTTTCCTCTATTCTCCCAAATTATCTGTAACTATTAAGAAGGCAAGGCATTCTTACTACCTCAGTGCCCTATGATCTGTCTGGAATGACCTCATTGTATCTAATCTGTCCTTTAGGAACATTGAAATATCTCTAGTTTTGCAAGGCTTTTCGGATAGCTACTTTTATAGTTGATAGTATTCCTCTTGACTCCCTTAAAAGACTATGTTTACCTTCATCTTATCATTTATCTCTTCTTTCTGTCTAGACTTCGAACTCCTTGATGTCAAAAACTATACTGTGTTCTTAACTTTTTTTTAATAAAAAGAAGAGAAGAAAAGGAGGGAGAGAGGAAAAGGGAAAGGAAGAAGGAAATGGATGAATGGACCCACTAGAAAATGTATAAAATTGCTAATTATTTTAGTCTTCTATCATCATTTTGAAAGGGAAAAAATAAACTATTTCTTTATCTGAATTAATCTCCCATACCAAGATAGTTATATGAGTGATAAGGACTTAAAATTACTAAAAGTAATTTAGAAGATAAATTGCCATGTTTGCTTGCTCTCCTAAAGAAGGCCTACACTTAATCTGTTAGTTGCTAATTGCTTTTAAGTGCTAACTAAAATACTAAATCAACCTCCAAGTTCATACTGCAATGTATTTGTGTTGATCTTTTATCTTTATTAAGTATTAATTCATCCTTTGTAGTGAACATTATGATTTTTTCAGATATTCATTAGGCTGTTTCAGCTGATTCTGTCTTCATTTCTCCAGCCTTCTCTAAAGACAAAACATAAATCCAGTTGTGGTATACTTGTAGAAGTCATCCTTACTCAGCACCGTTTGGTTTCTTTGTTGTTTCAAGACAATTCCTAGTAAAGAAAAATACTTTGATAATATTATACTTTGGTAATATTGTATAATTTTTTACAGGTAAAATCCAAAAAATAGCCTACCCGTTTAATAGTTACTTGGTGATAAAACATTATATCTACATAACTGATGACTCGGGGAATCAAAGTGAACTGAAGTATATCTTAATACTTCTTAGTTTTTCTTCAGTTTCCACATATTTCAATAATTTCTCTTTGTATTGGGGTTCTGTAGAGGAAAAAAAATATATATATGTATATGTATATATGTATATGTATATATATATGGCATTTGATAGGGGCTATCTGCAGGCTGAAAGAGACTGAGAATATTGAGAATATGATAGCTGCTGAGTCCAGGAAGCTGGATGTCTCAGCTGTTCCAGTATGGTACTGAAAGCCTGGAAAATTCATGGGAAACCACTGGTCTTCAGTTCACATTGAAAGGCCAAGAAGCTGGGTTCTCATGCTGGTGAAGGATTGTGGCAGCAGTGGAGATAGATACTTATCACTCAGAAGGAAAGGCAGGCTGGCAAGCAGTGCTGATTATTTCTTGGACCCTTTCTGTCAGTAGAAGGTGCCTCACACAGAGGGAGATGTGGAGAGCTCTTCTCCCCTCAGTTAATCCTTCCTGGAAATGTCCTCACAGATCTACCCAGAGACATGTCTTTTAGTTGGTTCCAAATTCCCATCAAGTTGACAACCAAGATTACCTATTATACTCTAGTTTTCTCTTTTTTCCACCTCATACAGTTCAACTGTGTTCTTTAATGGAAAACCGTACAAACTCACCAAACTTGGAAACTACCAACCAATATGTGTGCAAAAAAATGTGCTCTAAGTTGGACTCGGTAGGTTATTTTAAAACAATTTTTAAAAAACAGAGCACAAATTGGGGAGAGAGTAGATCTGGGAGGAGTTAGGGGAGGACTATATAAAACCCAAGTCTGGGTTCTCCTTTGAGAAATAGGTCAGAATATAATAATACATGATTGTATATAAAAGTGAAAAATTTGACAAGCGGCTGCTGCCTGGATGGACTTCCGGGCAAGTGTGTTTCATGTCCGCTTTAACCAAATATCTTAAATAAATGAAGTATATTCAATGATTTATTATATAACCAACTTACATTATATGCATGTATGTAATTCTCAGAGAATTAATAAAATATATTTTCTAAAAGACAAAATCTAAAAAAAAAATCCTGGAGAAAAGGGATCGATTAATTCAGAGGTTTTTCAAGAGGTTAATAACCTGTTTTTTATTCTGAATGCAGAATAGAATTTTTAAAATATTTTATCTTTATTATTTTTTTAATTTTAGGTGTACTTGTGTCATGCACTGCCCACAGAGGTCAGAGGGTGTCAGATCCCAGGAACTGAAATTACAGACAGTTGTTAGCTGCCATGTGGGTATTGGGAAATGGGTCCAGGTCTTCTGTAAGAGCAGCCTGTGCTCTTAACCAGTGAGCCATCTCTCCAGACCCCAGAATTAAAATTTTATTGCAACAAAATCATTATAACTTGTCAGTTTATTACAATGAAATTTTTATTTACAAAGTGGACATAACTGATGCTCAGTGTATAAAATTAGTGTCCTTTCATATATTCTAAGTCTGTTTTCTACCCAACATATTTTGTTCATGTGTGTTTCAGCATAGCATAGGCACTCCAAAAGAATTGACAACAAAGGGACAGGACATTATAATGTACAACTCTGGAGTTTTAGAAAAAAAGTTCCTTCTTGCTCAAATCCTGTATGTAACTAACAGCATTACAAATACCTGCTAGGAACATTCCTGCTAGTTTAATCTCTGCCTTTCTATTAACATGGTTCTTCAGGAATATTAATTAGCTCAAGGAATGCATATTAGAAGGAAGAGTTTTGTTTTTTGACAGAATCACTTTATGTTAGGTCAGAATTTTTTTTTAAATCAATAACATGATAACAGTACTGTAAAATATTTGTTACTTCTAATGCAGATTACACAGAATCACATTACACAAGACACCATGGTAATTAAGTCTGTTCTTTCAAATGCTCAGCTCATGTTACTATAAGGGATAACAGGTCCTTAGGTTTTAAACAGATCTGGGTTTCCCACTTGAAATGGCAAAAATCCAAGTCTGGGTTCTCCTTTGAGAAATAGGTCAGAATATAATAATACATGATTGTATATAAAAGTGAAAAATTTGACAAGCGGCTGCTGCCTGGATGGACTTCCGGGCAAGTGTGTTTCATGTCCGCTTTAACCAAATATCTTAAATAAATGAAGTATATTCAATGATTTATTATATAATTGATTTTTTTTCTGTCTTTTTGAGACAGGGTCTACATGTAGTCCCAGCTGCCCTGGAACTCACTATATAGACCAGGCTGGCCTCAAACACAAAGATCCGCCTGCCTCTGCCTCCCAAGTACTGGGATTAAAGGCGTGCGCCACCACACCTGGCAATAATTGATATTTTATAGCTTGTAATTCAGATGAATTCTTTATAGTTCAGTTGTCAGTTTTTGTTCTAGGATGCTAAATACCTGGTGAGATACACCTTGACTAATGAAAAAGCCATCCACATTTAAATTTTGTTCATTCTTTGAAAAGTGATTCCCTTAGCTTTGTAACTCTCAAGCGTTAGTTTAATAAAATAGATAACTCACTCACTGATTAATTCTTTTCTTTATTTACAGAGCTTCCTTATGGCTGGGAGAAAATAGAGGACCCTCAGTATGGGACATACTATGTTGAGTAAGTTTGATACCTCAGTTAGTAGACTCCCAAATGTTTTCCTTTCCTGAACAGGTCTAGGAGATGCTAGATACAACCCTCTATGTTTCTGTGACCTGATCTGCTGCAGTTTTTTAACTAGGGGAAGGAGCACTTCCTGTACTGACTTTGAGTGTCACAGACGCTGGCTTTGGCTTTCTAAATCTAGAACTTAGGTGGGAAAGCCCAGAGTAGTGGCACACACCTGTATTCCCAGCTACTGTAGGGGGAGGATAAGGCAGAAGGGTGGGTAGGAGTTCAAGGCCTGCCTACACAAGATAGCAAGACTCATTTCAAAAGAAAGAAGAGGAAGAAGCAGAGAAAGAGGGAGAAGGAAGAAGGAGGGCAGGAAAGAAGAAAAGAAAGGAAGTTGTGTAGAGGACTAATACAAGATAGTATCCTTGCCACTGCATCCTTTAAAGAGAAAGGTAGTGCATGGCACATTGTGAAACGAGGGCATTGGACATGGATAGATGGACTCTTGTGGTCACTTCCAGCACTACAAGTATATTATTCTAAAAGCAATTAAAGGACATGAAGGTCCTTATAATATACTAATCCAAAGTTTTGAGGTACACAATTAAAGATGTGTTCTAGTTTAAGGAGTTGGGGAAAGTATAGTAGTTTTTTGGAGGGTATGTGGAAGTTGCTGCTAATGCAGCTGTTATGGTTAAATGTTAAGTCTAAACATATTTGAGAGAGGAGTACCAAACAGCTGCTGTTACCAGAGGCATTCAACCACCTTCACTTCTGTGCTTTCTTTTCCTTTAACCAAATTGTTACAATGGAATTTCTTTCTTTCCAGATTATACAGATAGGATTTTAACCTCCCGGGCCTGTGCCAGGAATGTTTGTACCAGAAATTTTATTGTTTACCCAGAAATTTAATCTAAACCTACTGCCTTCTTTTCAAAAACAAAATCATACTATTACCTAGAAATATAGCAAATACAAGAATGTTCTTGTTTCATGATGAATTTTTCAGAAGTAGCTGTCATTGATCAATGTTATTTCCTAGTAATTATCTCATAGGAAAGTATCTCTGACTCTTGTTGCGATTTTAATATGTAGGTCCCTGTGGTTAAAGAGAGGTCTGGAATGACTTTCTAAAATCCAGTGAGTAGCCTAAGAAACAACTCAGTTAGATTCACCTGTAGGTATATAACTTTCCAGTTCCAGTGTTTTGCTTCCTTTGAGAATTTCTACTAATTTTGTTTCTATTCTATGTTTTTTTAATTATTTATTTAATAACCACATACTTAGAAGAAGCATTTCATTACATCAGCATTGATATATTCAATAACAATTTTCTGAGCTAGGCTGCCTCGTTTACAAAATTGACTGTAGATTTTTAGGTTTATAGTGGAATTATTACAGTTACACAATATTGTACTCAGTATAAACCCTATAAAATATAAAATTAAATGAGGTTTTAAGCTTTAAAAAGATCTCCATTTCATTATTAAAATACACAGTTTCATACAGAAAAATTCATTTTTAATACAATTGACAATTCTACTAGCAGATAGATGTTTGCACAAGCGTTTCTAATCTCTATATATCTGATTATTGCTAGTCACAGTCGGTTACTTTCTGAGCTCATTGGCATCTGAGCATGGATATAAAGTCATCAGGTAGATTTTAATGGAAAATATTTATCACATCTACTAATTACTAAGGAAAACATTTTTATGCTTTGAAGAATTATTTTTTTAATCATTATACTTTAAAAATTTTTTAATAACTGCATGATTAGAAGCTTTTCACTACAGCTTTAACATATTCAGTAACACACTCCAGAGCAACAGTACATCTCTTTCACAAGTGGGTGCAAGTTTCTCGGTTTACAGTTGAATTAATATAGTTATATATTATCGAACTCAGTATAAGGCCTGTAAGACATAAAATTGGATGAGTTTTTAACCTTTAAAAAAGATCTCCATTTCATTTTAGAATATATTGTTCTTGCAGACAGACTCCTTGTTTTTGCTACTAACACTGAGATGTTGGAGCTTGCATCTCTAACTATATGTATCTGATTATTACTAGTCATAATCCGTTGTACTTGGATCCTTGGCGCCTGTATATGTATATAAAGTCATTGGGCAGATTTCAATGTTATTGTTTATCACCTCTATTAATTAGCATGGCATATATTTCCAACTTCCTCCTCAAATATAATACATTTTTAAAAACTTTGTTGATTTTTCTATGTGTGTGTATCACACAGAACATCCAAAACCATCTCATTGGACTATATACCCACTTCCCAGATACCACCCTCCCATAGCCTCCCTCCCCACACTAGAGCTCTTATACTCTGATATCCCTGATACTGTCTGCTGTGTTGTCGGCACCCCCAGCCATTCCCCACTACTTGCCCTTCTGATGAATCTAGTCAGCCTATCTAGAGGTCTTTGTTTTAGTAGGGTCACCTGTTCCTCATCTAGCAGTAATCAGTTGTCAATATTCCTTTAGATAATATTGGGGTCTGCTGTTCATTTTCCCAGTTAGTAATTACTATCTGGGAGTCCCTTGGGCCACCCTGGCCAAAAACTCAGAAGAAGGTATTGCCTGTCTGGCATTGTTGCTTGTTATGTAGCCTTTAGCTATGCATATGGACTCTTAAAGAATTATATTGGCCTCTTTAATCTTTGGTTGTACTTTCCTTTTGGGCGTTGAAGGCCATATAGTTGGTCCAGATAAACCAATTTATTTTTAGTCTTAAGGTCATTTGAGTATCTGTTCCTCAGGGGTCACATGGGCTTGGGA